CTTGGCCTGAAAGCGAGATGAGCGCTGCAACCCCATAGTCAAATGTGACTTAACCATCCATGGGTCCTTTACCTTTAGCTTTTTTACTTTACTTGTCCTAGAGTAACAATGGGACATTTGTACTGGTGGGCCGGACTGTATATTTTTTGGGTGGGGGGGGGGGGAGACCCATGGATGGTTAAGTCACATTTGCAGCACTCATCTCGCTTTCGGACCTCCTAGAACTCAGCTATGTAGAAATACTCATTTAAATATTGTATTCTGAGAGAAAGCACGTGTTAAGTATTCATTCCAATATATTTTAAAGCAAGAAACAAGAAAATTATGTGTGAAATGTGAAGAAGTGACATGAACTGGAAATGCATCCACCTGCAGCTTCCCCATCACTTTTACTTCCATTGAAGTAAAATTGAAAAGTTAAAGTTAAAGCACATAGCTTCCCCCAAATCATCCTGGGGAACTGTAGTTTAAATCTCCCAGAACCACCATTTCTAGCATTTGCAACAAACTGTAGTTCCCAGGATTGTTTGGGGGCAGGTATTGTGCTTTAAATGTATTTTCAGTGTGTGATGAACACACAGCCTATAATGTTTACCATGGCCTCTGTGGTTAAGGTTGCAAGCTATTAGGAGAAGGCACGTGCTTTTAAAAATTAGTTCAAGGGAGCCAGGTGTGTGGCACTCCAGATGTTGGACTGCAGCACCCATCATCCCTAACCCTTGTCTATGGTCGCTGGGGCTGATGGGCGTTGAGAGTCCTACAATAACATGTGGAAGGTCACCAGTTCCCCCCATTCCTGGCCTTTGTGGTAGAGCTCGCCTGTGGCGTTCAGCTTAGTGGGACATTCCATTCAGTACAGGAGGGGGGAATTGTGCTGCCCAGCAGTTGAACAGAATTGTGCTGCCCAGCAGTTGAACAGAACTTAGCCCTAATAATTGTCTTAAGTGTGCAAGAGTTGGTTAGCTCTTGATGGCTGGGCTACAAACCTAAGCAATTCTGACCAGTGGTGAGACTTCTTGCAAAGACACCATGTGGTGCACCAGGAGCTGAATGGTTATATAATTAAAATTTCCCTTCAACTCCTGTCATGCATGTGATCATTAGTGTGGTTCAGCATAGAGTGGCATGCTTGATCATTTTATTAAATTTTCAGCAGATCATTTAGCTCAGTGCTCCCTTGCTCATATTTCTGCTTCACCTTGGTTCAGTCTTGCCACAGTTCTTCCCCTGATTAAATACTCAGATATTATTATTATTATTATTATTATTATTATTATTATTATTATATCTGCCCTTCCCCATGCCCTATCTCTGCCCAGTACTGAGTTGTCCACCTTTGTGTCTTGTTAAAATCTTACAAACCCACTGCAAACACATCCAAACCTCAAGCCACCATACTGCCTTTATTATTTAAGTCTATCTCCCTCCTCTCTTAGATTGGATAACCAACACAAGGCACAATGACATATATATTTATTCTCTTCTCTAGAGGGAGACGATCTTTTTCAGATAAGTCATTTCAGAACTTTTTGATTGATTCTGAGAGTCCTCCTATTCAGTGCTATTTTTTTTCTAGAAAAAGAGGTGCCAGAATGCCTCCCTCATCATGCGCCATGTTGGAAGAGCCGTTTTTTAGGGAATACCTCTTCTGAGATGGTTTCATTGCCCTCTTTCATTGCCAAGGGCACCATCATAGAAAATCTGACATTAACCAAACTTTGACTGCAGAAACACAGAGTCACCAAGTATCAGGTTAGTGAGAATGAACGTGTCTCGGCAATTAAGAATCTCATTGAATCAAGGCAGATGAGATTTTGGTCACACGGACTTCCTTCCTGCCTTTACTGAAAGGAGAACCCTTTGGGTTGATAAGCCACTGAAATATTATATTTGCTTTGTGAACTCTTATTTCTATTCCATATCTATACTATATGGAACAATCCTATGCCGGCCCACGTAGTTCAGATGGGCTTACTTCCAATAAAGTATGCCAAGGATTGCAGCCTCAATCTTGTTAACCAATCCTATGCATGTCTACTCAGCAGTAAATTCCTTTGCATTCAGTTAGCTGTGCTCCCAAGTAAATACGTACAGGATTGCATTCTCCATTTCACTAGTCTAAATATTTATTAAATGTCCCTGCAGAGGAGCAGGAGGCCCTGGGCTCTTTATAAAAGTGCTGCAATCGTGCCAATAACATTGCACTCTCCCCGGTGCTTGCTCTTGTGTGTAATAAAAGAGGAGCGCTGATTTTCCGATCCGAAGCTTTCAAAATGGTAATTTAAGAAACCGAAATGGAAACAGCTGCTGCGGTTAATATACTCTGTCCAAAATGCAAGGGGACGCCACGTCCCGCAGCAAAGACAACAACAATGATATAAAAAGCTGGCTATCATTCACCTAGGACTGAAGCCAGGGCATATAGGTTGGTTTTAATTCCGGCAAGCACCTTCTTTGCATTCGTTATCATTAGCCCCATAAAAGTTGGTTCCTGTTTGCTCAGCACAATTCTGACAGCTTTAGCTGATGACACCTGACATAAGCAACCCTAGTAAAACTTGCTTGATAGCGGCTGAACGGCTGCCCGCCCTGCGAGGAAGGACTTCATGAAGAGAGAGTCGTAATAAAATCTGGCTCGCGTATAAAATTTAAAAGTCAGATTTAACTTTTTAGTGTGCAAAGCATTGTAAAGGAAGGGTGGGGGTAGAGGGAAGAAGAACAGGCGGTCTGGCGAAATCCATACATCAGCACGGCTGTCAGGTTAACGAGAGGGAAATGCTTTACTTCCTTGTAAATGTTGCCTTCCTGTGGGCTCGCTTTAATTTTGCAGCCACGTTTATTTAATTTTAAAGGGTCCGTCTTCTTTAATGGCTCAGGGTTATTGACTTTAGGAATCTTGCTCAGGAAGGCTGTGATTCGGAAGCCACAACAAGAACCTTAAAGGCAGAAGCTGAGTCTTCCAGCACATCTGTCAATCTACCATCTTTCGCTTGGCACAGGAGGGCACCGATGCCCACAGAGGCCTACTTTGTGTTGCATTTCAGTGGAGGGAAGAGCTCCGTTCACACAGAGGGGTGTGTGAGCGTAAGTGGAGCTCCCTCACCCTCCACTTCAAGTGCTGAACAACAGGGGCGAACGAAGGCTAACCGACACCCGGGGCGGGGCAAACCACCAGCTGCACACGCGTTCCGCCGCTACGTTCGACACATGCATGGTGTCGCTACATAGGGTGCAATGTGCAGCGTCGCTATGTACAGCGCATGCGACACTGTGCATGCATTGTATGTAGCGGTTGGCAAACTGCTATGTACAGCCCATGTGCGGTGTCGCTACATTCAGCGCATGTGTGTGACACTGCACATGCATTGTATGTAGCGTTGGCAAACTGCTATGTTACAGCGCATGTGCAGTGTTGCTATGCACAATGCATGCATGCGACACTGCGCATGCGTTGTACATAGTGGTTTGCCACTGGCACTGCCCGAGTGCCATACGGATGGTGGTGGGATCCTCCACATGCAGCTGCAGTGATGTGATGGCTGCTCGCACCGCTGCGCCTGGGGGTGACGGGGCGAGCACCCCACAGGGTGACGTCTTGTCACCCCTCCAGACATGGCACCTGGGGCAAACCTCCCCCCTTGCAACACCACTGCTGAACAATACGTGTCGGGTTAGCAGTATTATTCAAACTTGGTTCATCTACATACGATGCTGAACAATACGTGTCGGGTTAGCAGTATTATTCAAACTTGGTTCATCTGCTGTTGTTGGACTACATCTCTCATCATGCCTGAGCCCTGGTCCTGCTAGCCAGGGATGATGGGAGTTGTAGTCTGACAACAGATGGAGACCTAAGTTTGAGAAACACCTGAAAGAATGATGACCTTGCAGAAGTGCATTGGTTGTGGGTTTCCTTAGTGTTAGACCTGTTAAAGTCACCAACCCATGTGATTTGAGAACAGTGCCTTTGGCCTGAGCCAGCTGGGCTCTTGTTGTTTCTTCATGTTCTAACTAACCCATACAGAATGTGGCAGCAAGGGTGTTAGTGTCTGCTCACCTGTGGGGTCAAATGAAGCGTATTCTGCAACAGCTGTTATGGTCAGCAGCTTGCTTACAGACACAATCCAGAGATTGCATATGCACCATATAATGAAAGCACATACATACATTACAAGCACACACCCCCTGCAAGAATGCTGGGAACTGCAGTTGACCCCCCCCCCCCGAGAGCTACAGTTCTCAGAAACCTAAACAAACTACAGTTCCTAAGACACTGGGAGTGGCAAGGTGCTTTAAATTTATGGTATGTTTTCACCCCAAGTGTTGGTGATTATATTTAAAGCCCTAAATAGCTTGGTTCTAGGGTACCTGGGGGACTGTTTCCTCCCATATCTTCCTATTATCAATTGGAGAGGCACTTTTCCATGTCACTTCCATGTCTGAGACAGACAAACAGACAGACAGACACACACACACACACACAGAGAGAGAGAGAGAGAGAGAGAGAGAGAGAGAGAGAAAGAGAAGAGAAAAGGGTCTTCTCAATGTCTGTTCCCAGATAACTTACCCCATGAGATTTGTTTGGTCTGCTCCCATGCGTAATGCAAAGTGGTTCCTTCACGTGGCCAAAAAAGGAAGAATAAACCAGCACCCACTTCACCTGTTTGCAGGAGTTACTTGCCAAACCAAAAACTCTGAAGCATGGTATATGAAGCTGGCTTATTCAACACCCTAAAGTGTCTTGGGAACCACAATTCCTGGTTGACACATAACAACAAGCCAGAAACTGGGGGAAGGCAAACAGAATCATGGTTTATTCCTTCTCTTGGCCACTCTGGAAGTAGAGGGGAGAATTATTGAGTCCAACTTATGCTTGGACTCTCAAGGCTCAGGCACGTCAGGCTAATTCCTGGCTTAGCATTATGTGCCAACCAGAACACGGTGTTGTTTTCCAGACCACAATTTTACCTTCTTGTTATTTTCTCCACTGAGCATGTATCCATTTTTATATGCAGTTGCTTTATTTATCAGATTTTTTTTTTTAATTGTTGCAAGCCACCCCAAGTTATGCAAACACACTGGAAGGACCCAGTATATAAAAAAATAGTTACTGGAGAACAGGTAAAGAAGCAGTATAGCTCTGGGTACCAGATGCTAAGGATGAGGAGGGGATGACCATCATATTTATGCCTGTTTGTGAGTTTCCCAGAGGCACTGGGAACAGAATGCTGCTCCAGATGGCTCTTTGGTCTCAGCCCCCGAGACATTCCTGTCTTCTTACATTCCATGGCATAACTTTGTAAGCGTAGCAGAGATTCCTCCTCCGGCAGCCCTGAATGTAGAAAGGAAACACACCTCTCATTCATAGCTTGTTATCAAACAAAGGGATTTCTCAAATATAAATCTAGCATGTGCGTGTTTTCTCTGTAAACACTCCCAATTTATTGTACTACATGCATAATTTGATCACAGGTGGTGTGCTGAATAATTGCCTCCCCTCCTCTTCCTAATTTTATTTTCTTTTACTTTTGGTTAAGCAAAAGTGCAGATTTTCATTGATAGAAACACCAGCGAAAGATTGTGTTTGATGCAGGAACAAGTGGAGTTACATATGCAAATAATAGCTTGTCTGTGATGTGGCTTTTGTCTCCTCTTGTACCAATTCATTGCTAGTCTATAATTAGGAAGAGGGAAGAGAAGGAGCAGTCAACAGAGCCGAGTAATACCCTGTATGAATTTCAGATACGATCACAACAGAGCTTTGTGAAACACACGTTTTCCTTATGCCTGTAGAAGGTGTGCCTGCATAGCAAGCAAACCTCATGCCCAAACAGCTTTGCGCTTCCTTCCCAAAGACAGAATTATCCATATCACACTTGCATGCTCATCATTTCAATAATGGTCGCTTCAAGAGTTGAATTCTCACCCTTAATAGAAGCCTTATTAGTAGAAGCTTAATAAAAATGGGAGGACTCGCATCTTACCCCATAGTCTGGGCTCTCTTTGGCCTAGGATATGAACGCTCCTTTATCTCCCCACGAGTCTTCCTTGACCTTACCCAGGTGTGCTCAACATCCTCTCAGTTGCAGCAGGGATGTCACTGAACAAGCTGTCAGGGTCCTTGCTGCAAGTTGGACTAGTACTGGCAAAGATCCTTTGCATTGCTTGGGCACTTGAGTGGTCGACAGGGTAGGTATGGTTTCCAGGACCCAACAGTGTCTTCAGTGCCTAGGAGATAAAGACAGTAGAGATCAGCCTTCCTAGGTAGAACTTTCCATTGTATTCAAACAGAATGTGCTCTGGAGTAAGGCCACATCCACACCATATTTAAAGCACTATGATACAACTTTAAACAGTCATGGCCTCTACCACCTCCAAACTTTGGGGAACTGTAGTTTTTAAGGGTGCGTAGAGTCGTTAGGAGACACCCTCATTCTGCTCTCAGAGCCACAGTGGTTTAACAATGGCTTCTTCTTAACAGGGAGCTGGAAATTGTAGTCTGAGGGAGGGGAATAGGGGTCTCCTAACAACTCTCAGCACCCTTAAGAAACTACAGCTCCCAAAATTATTATTTTTTGGGGGGGGAGCCATGGCTGTTGAAATGGTAGGATAGTACTTTGAATGTACGGTGTGAAAGTGGCCTAAGTTCACAGGGAGTCTGTATGCAGACATACAGGCACTGACCTTAAGTGCAGCAAATGGAACTAACAGGTCAGCAGTTCCTACCTTGATGCAGGTAGCATTGCTGTCCTGGAGTGGGGCATCAGAAAGAGTCTGCCAATGGTGGCATTGTGGGATAGCTCAGTTGGTAGAGCATGAGTCTCTTAATTTCAGGGTTGTGGGTTTGAGCCCCACTTTGGGCAAAAAGGGGTTGGACTAGATGACCCCCAAGACCCCTTCCAACTCTACAACCCTTTGATTCTATGATTTTGCTGTTGCCTAAAAGGATTTCAGGTTAAGAAGGGCTGTGTCTTTCTAGTAGTTCTTTTGGCTGAGGAGGACCTTTTGTAGGTGTGAGATTTTGTGCCCACTGAAGTCTCAGAAACTAAGAGTTGATCTATATGACCAGCTCAGAGCATGCATTTCTGACATTTTTAGCCCGAAGTTCTGAATCACAAGGCAACTAGACTAGTTTCAAGGCAACAAAATAAAATTAGAGAAGCCCACAATCCGTTTTAAAATGGCAGCCAGTCTGACGAAGATGATTGCTGGGGTCTATATCATTGACAAGGGGCTTCTCAGCACTCGGTTGCAAAGACGAGTTCTGCACTGCCATGCCTGTGGCGATTTGCTGCCAAAGATGAGAGAACTTAGATCAAAGTGAAACAACTGAGAACTGGTGCACACTGGCTGTGTCAGGGGCTGGCACAAGCCTGCAGCAGGTCTCGAACTTGTAATCAGAGTGTGAGGCAGCAAGAGCAGTCACAGAGGCCCTTCTAACCACAAGGTCAGGAGATACCATATGCAAGATTTCCAGGTCATGGTTGCTTGCTGATCTGAGCAGCGAAACAGATTTTGCTCATTGCCGCTTACAGGCAGCCTTTGCCCTGCTTCCGAGTTCACAGGAGCTGGGCCTGACAGACAGTTACGCAACGCAGAAGAAGAGGAAAACATTGCACAGGTTGCAAAGGAGCACCACATGCTTGCTTTGACTTCCTGATATTTTTAGGTGGTGGTGGTTTCTAAAGGACTGGGACATGTGTTTCCTTACCCCCACCCCAGCCTTAGGAGCATTAACTGCCCATAAATGACAAAAAAAAACCAACCATGCCCCTTTATCAACACAGAGAATTGGGAGCAGAATACTAGGGCGGCCACGTCACCTCATAAAGTTTCAGTCCATTAGATAGCAATGCTTTTGCATGGCTTGCCATGTGTGTTATCAACATATGCTACAAGTCAGCAGAGTGCAAGTTACTGCTGTTAAGGCCAGCCTTAGCTTCTGCTCAAAATTCTTATGCCTTATGTTTAGGAAAGGGATGTCTCTCCCAGGGCTTGTTTCATTTAATCACATAATTATGGCTATGATCACAGCTTAGCAGCTGAGCGATGTCCAATGGTTGCCCCACGGCGAGAGGGGCTGCATGCGACGGTTGCTGGACTGGGTCAACCCAGCATCTGGGTTCATACACCCCCATTCTAAGAGGGACCAATGCTCCCATGATTCCCAGGAGATAAAAACATTGGGTTGTTTTTCTCGTCACCCTTCCATTCATGTGGTCCAACATATCCTGAACTGGAATTTTCTGTTCATTAATGCTTAATTTAATCCTTCCCCAATGCCTCCCATAAATTCTGGTGTGCCCTCAAACATAAGAAGTGTGCTGTATCAGGCCAATGTCCCATCTGGTCCAGAATCCTGTTCTCACAGTGGCCAACCAGATCCAGTGGTACCTCGGGTTACAGACGCTTCAGGTTACAGACTCCGCTAACCCAGAAATAGTACCTCGGGTTAAGAACTTTGCTTCAGGATGAGAAGAGAAATCGTGTGGTGGCAGCGGGAGGCCCCATTAGCAAAGGTGGTGCTTCAGATTAAGAACAGTTTCAGGTTAAGAATGGACCTCCAGAACGAATTAAGTTCTTAACCCGAGATCATAGCTGTCAACCTTCCCCTTTTTTGCGGGAAATTCCCTTATTCCAGTGCCGTTTCCCGCTGCTTCCCGCTGCTATCCCAGATTGTTAGATATCCCATAGACTGTCCCCGGGACAGATGAGGCTGCTGATCCCTTATTTTCAAATCTGAAAGTTGACAGCAACAGCACTCTCCCCTCTTGGGGGTTCCAGCAACTTTTCAGAAGCATCAGTGACTCTGACGGTGGAGGCAGAGCGTAGCCATCATAACTGGTAGCCATTGATCAAACCTAGAGGTGCCAATCAGGTCAGTTCCTATTGGAATGGACAAATCACGAATTCCTTAAGCATCCCTACAGGGTTACAGACATGGGCCCTGCAGCCTTGGGGTTCGGGGGGCAGGCTGACACCCACACACTGTGTAAAACAGGCATGGTGGTAGTGAATTGTCCAACCCCTGAGGTCAAGCACCCACCAAAAGGTTCACCCACAAAGCAGTGGCATCTTGGCGAAACATCTTGGGGACACGTATGTCTGCAAAATGGAACGAAATGAAATAATGGGCAATGAAAACAAATGTTTGGCAGTTGGGCCACCCCCTGTGGATTGGGAGGCGAGCCCATTGATTTCTACCCAAAGCATAGCTTTGAGACTCAAAAGATGAAAGGCAGCAAACCCCCCAAAGCCCCGTGCTCTTTTTCTCTGTGCCAAAATGAGCTACGGAGTTATAAATACCAGCTGCAGACCTTTCTGTCATGAGCATTTGTTCGATGCGTGGCCAGAGGCTCCATTTATCGTATTGTATCTCTTTAAGTGTGTTTCTCGAAACGGCCCCATATTTTATCAAATTCTGGATATATATTTTTGATTAATGACGGAGGCATTTTCCCCAGTGTGGCACGATCCATCATACTCCTAATCCAATTTTTAAATGAAAGGCGTTCTTGGATATCTTTGTAATAGAGTTATTCTTCTCTTTCTCCTTCTCGGTGTAGTTACAGTTCCCTCTCTTGCTTGCTCTCCTTGCAGCAAAAGAGAGAGGCTGAGAAATAGTTTGCAGTGATGTATTCCTTAGCAGGCAATAGTGGAGGGCTGGCATATTCCATCTCTGCAACCAGGGTCCTTTGGCTCGTTTTAATTGCAACAACACAGAGAGTGGCTTCGCCATGATGTAATTCAGGGGCAAGCTGAGCCTGGCAAGCTGGGGCAAGCCCATTTGCTTTTGCTGCCTGTTGTCAGGTATCGCAGTGGCACGAAATGTAACTTCCATGCGGCTTTTGTGCTGATGCTGATGCATCTCGCCACGGCACTTTGGTCAGTACAAATAATAATAATAACAAACGACAATGTTTATTTATGTCCGTTTATGAGAACATCTCCAAGCGATTTGGCAATAAAAGCATCAGCACTAAAAGCAATCACACCATTTCACACACACATTATAGAAGTTTTTTTTTAAAAAACCCAATTAAAAACGCTATCCTATTAAAAACAAGAAATGGAAAATAATCTCGTGTGTAAAAAAAGCAGTTTCAAGTCCAATGCAGATAGAGACTAGGATAAAGATATGCAATTACAGGGTGTGTTGAAAACGGAAGGTCTACCCTAGGTGCCAGAAAGGCAACAGATTAAGGCCCAGCTCCTACTTCATGTGGAATAGACCTCCTGAAGAGATGGGATCTGCAGAGTGCAGTGATAAGTTGGGCATATAAGATGACAGCTGCACTTACTTTTACCACTTTCTGTTAAAACAGCAGCAGCAGCAGCAAATAATAATAATAATAATAATAATAATAATAATAATAAGGACTTGACTGCTGTAGTTTGTATAAGCCAAGGTTTCTGAATGCTTTCTAATAGTAGCCTCATGTGGTTCATGTCACAGCACAAGGGTCCAATCTAGACATGACTTTGGAGCGATATAGCATGTAATGGCATGGGATTGGCTCTTTGTGAGGGGTGATCTTAAGGGTCACCTTAAGACCAGAAACATCCTGACATGCATCAGATGTCAAAGAAATAAACAACTAACTGACTTTTAGAAGGCATCTATCTGAAGGCAGCCCTTTTTATGGAAGTTTTTAACATTCGATGAATTCTTGTATTCTAATCTTTTGTTGGAAGCCACCCAGAGTGGCTGGGGAAACCCAGCCAGATGGGCAGGGTATAAGTAATAAAATTATTGTTGTTGTTGTTGTATCAGTGTCATTCCTTGAACTGACTGAAGTTCTCTCTTCTAACCAATGTCCCCTGGTAGCGCAGGGAGTAAGAAACAGCCAACTGGTGCTCTGTTTGAGCCTTGTGGTGTCTGACAACACTGAGATGCAATCAAATTGTGTGTGTGTGTGCATGTCTCTAACATGCATGCATGCATGCATGCATGCATGCATAAAATAGTTAAGTGCACGTCATTTCCCAGGGGTCATGCGCAGTGCAGTGTCTGAAATTTCTTTTCAGTGTTCAAGATCAAACCCTTCCCCAGGCTTTAGAAGCACCTGTCTGTGACTCGAACTGAGCTGCTCACTTGGTCACGGCAGTTACTCATGCGATAGCCCTGCATTGCACAGGGATTCCCTGCAAGAGAGTATTTCCACCCGGGAACAGCAGTAACATGGAAGGTCCCACATCACCTTTGCAGATAGCTTGTTAGCGACTCT